CCCCAGTGTCTTACTCACCTGTCCATGCTCCTATGAAATTCATGCTCATGCCCATGCAGAGCCGCACAGCCATTACTGCGAAATCTCCGGCCAATCTTTCACTTTTACTTTGTCTGAGCAGGGAAAATTCATTAACATCCAGGTAGAGGCTGTCTATCATTGAGTTAGCAGTTGCTGGTTGTGTGGCACTCTGTAGGCTGCACATCGTAGATCTGTCAGGATTGTGGATAGGTAGGTAAACTTTGACTTTGCCGGTGGGAGGGTATTTGCAATGATAGTAGTGAGTTTGTGCAGCAACAATTAGAGCTGGGATTTACTTTCATCTATGGCTGTTAGATATATTTTACCACACTTCCTGTCTGGTTAAACAGTTGTTACCATGAAAGTAAGCGAAGGAAAATATCCTAACAGGGGTCCTAGCTTCCCCTACTATAGAGCTTGTATTGCTGTCTGTGTTGCTGCTGGAGATTTTGCCTCATTTCTGTTTGGTTAAACCATTGTCACTGGGACAGTAAGTGAGGGGAAATAGCTCAGATGGAACCGGAGGTAGCAGTAAAAAGCTTACAGAGGTTCTAATGGTTCCCTACTCTATCCAATAATAGGAAATACGTTTTGGCTAGACATACACTGAAGTAGGGAAGTTGAAAAGCAGTGTTAACTTTTTTGGTACATATAAATTGGAGAATTTGAGGAGCAGTGTTACATTTTGTGTACATTTAATTCAAAATCTGATAACATTAAGTACCACTGCTAAGCCAACATTAAAGGGACTCAACTTTATTAACAATTTCAATATCTAATTATTTTTCCTTCCGTTCTGAATATATAAATTAGGGCCATGTGCACAATTTACTACAATTGGATCAAAATATGTAGGGTTATTTCCCATTAATTATGTGATAACACAATATATGCCCCTCCTAAAGTTTTCCATTTGGTTTTAGAATCTGGGCCTCAAAAAGGTTGTGCACCACTGAATTGGATGACTGCAAGTATTGTTTGACAAGTAAATTAGATGATTACAGATTTTTCAATATTACATTTTGTTTTCAGACTTTTGGTTTACTTCATACCAGTAACTCATGCAGTCTTGGATTGATCAGATCTTGAAGGTTTGTTTTGTCCTCTGGGCTGACAGTCTGTTTGTATTGCCACCTCTCAGGCACAAAGGGCCACTTCATTTCCTTTGCCTCCTGAATGAGAGTCCTAAGATCGTCCGGCAGAGAGGCTAGAAAAGGTCAGAGTGCATGTCAGAATATCTCCAGGACATAAAAGACACATTTAATTTTCAGTGGTATGTTCTGCACCTCAACTGCAATAACCTCAGTTTCCCACACACTTATATGCATTTGCTACATGGTGCAGACTTCTACCATAACACCAATAACAACAAAATGTCAGCATAGGACCTATTCAGTTCTGCCCTTAAGGTATGCTGGAGCATTCAGCCATTAAATAGGTTTTTAGTGGGAAGTATAACATTTATACAATTGTCACTGTGTGGAGACATACTTGTCTTGTAATGTTATCAGGAAGTGAAACCATCAATGCTGTAATCAAATCTATTTTCATCTCCTAAAAGATATCCCATTGTATGTTCAGCACTTAAGAATACAGCTTCAGGCATGATGTATGTTCATGTGCCAGCATCTACGGTCAATTTCAAGTCTATAGCAATTCACCCGTCTAGCACATGGGTCTGAAGCATTGGCAATGCAAGGATCTATGGACATGAGTAATAGGAATGTTTTACTTAAGGTGAACAACCTAACAACCTTATTAGCTCTATTTTGGTCTGTCAAATATAAATTTAAAAAGGTTTGCTATATCTGTTCAATAAGTGCAAAAAATACCTGTAGACTCTACCTGACATCCAATTAGCTCAAAGCTTCCAGTGTACTCTGCCTCTGCTGCACTGACATCCCAGGCAGTGTTACCAACCTTGCTAAGTTCACCTCTGCAAGCTACAGAACACCTCCCCTCCCTTTAGTAGTCTAAATCAGGTGCAGAGAGACTAAGTTAACATCACTGCTCCTTCATAGATTCAGTACAGTCATTGAGAATTTTCACCCTACAACTGTTGGTGCTATATAAATCCTGTATAATAATAATAATTAAAAAAAAGCCTGAAAAAAAAGACAACTGGTGCAGTTATCATATCTAAGGACTGATAAGCTTTAATATATTTAATTTTGTTTGTAGATTTAGATGTACTTTAAAGTATATGTAAAGCCAAAACCTTTTTTGAATTTTGGATAGAATGTGGAATAGTTAAAATCCCTGATGTTCTTTTTGCTTTGTCTCACTGGGGAAATTTGCCTTCACTTCTTGTCTGGAGATGCAACAGGAAGTAAAAGGAGCTGTCACCTCTTTTAGACAGTTGTCACTGGAACAAGTGGGATCATTCTTCCCATTGCAAAATTTCCCCTCTATGCCAGTGAAAACTAAAAAAAAACGTAACTTTCAGTCCCGAAGACAATGATCACCGTATAAATAGAGAAAGGAAATCTCTCCAGCAAAGACACAGATAGCAATAAAAAAAAAATTACCAGAGTTCAATTTAAAATTAGCGTCTAATAAAAAAAAAGGGTATAACTGACGAAAATAATGTCTTACAGGGGTACAAAACATACTCTATAAAACAGATTTATTCCAAAATGCATATTTATTAAAATAAATCACAGATTAAGAGATAACTAAAAGTAGCAGTACATCGTCTACACAGATTAACCCAAACCAAAATTAGGAATGTGAAATAATATCCATAGACATTTACACAGACCATTATTGAGTTGGTAAATCGCCATACTTTTTTTTAATCATTTGTGTATTTTGGGAAGCAGTATTTTTTTTTTAAGCAGAAGATACTCTAATATCCTAATTCTTATTTTTACTGTCAACGCATCTGTAAAATCCAATTGGCTATATAATTTCAATGAGGCACAAACCTATCTAATTTATCTAGCCATCAAGTCAAGTGCCACATATTCTAAGTCAGCAGGAAATGAGCTCTTGAAATGAGAAATAGCTGTGGTTATGAAATGACAAATAACTTCCTAGGGCTCCTCTGTCTATGGCCAACACTTGTCTTTAATGGCATCTGTATGTACAGACTGGTCTACTATGTAAACTTTTCCTGAGAGAAGATCCTGGCTATACAGTATAGGCGATGATCCTGTCTGCAACCATTTCTGAGACACTGACCTACAGCAGGTAAGACACATTGGGAGTTCTAATCTCAAATGAATTCACCTGTCATTGCTTGTTCCAGGTCTGTAACTAAGAAAATTTTTAAAGCTAGAGATGGACAGGTAATAGACATTATCAGAAGGAAGGTAGGAGCCTACAGATTTCTCTCTGTATAGACTTTCGTTACACACAGCAACATACAATCTGTCAAAACAATGAATGGCACTTTTCTAATAACAGGCCACCTCTCAGAGGAGGCCATAAACCAATATACCTATAATTACATTAGTGTATGTGCCTACAAGTTACCTATTAATTTCTATTGATTTCAGTGAATACACATGGCTCCTAAAAAGTTCCTACTAGGTCAATTCTATTCCAGCACTATACTTGCCTGCCCCTGATTCCCTTATAAGATGGCTGAGTCTGAAATTTCAAACAGACAAACTAAGCCACAAAGCAATTAGCGTCTTCTGTGCTGTCCCTTTAGCTAAGCCCAAGTGCTCTGGAAATCCGTTGTCATATAAAATAAGGATTTATTTGCAGATAAAATAATGATTTATAAAGATTTACACTTAAACCTAAAATGACATTTGTCCTTAAACCTTTATAATTTATCTTAAGAGAAAATAAATGTGTTATCATTAAGCCACTATGAAAAATATTTTGGTGAACTGTGGAACAAGTGTTCACCCCAAATGCACACCATAGATTATCCACCAAGTCAGAGATAAAAGTTGCACAGAGTACCAGCAGTGCATGAACTGTAAAACTATTCTCACCTTCCTGTCCTTCTGGATGCCTGTGCATGGCAGACCTTTGGTCATGGCCAGTATAGGGAAGATGTGCCACCAGGAATCAGTTTTTATGTATCTACACAAAACTACAAAAGACTAGGGATTATTGACCTCATTTAGCTGCATCATTTTAACAGAAGTAAGCAATTGGTCTTAAATGATTAAACTACAATGAAAAAGTATTTTTCTGCAGCCAACTGAACAATGTATCTACCTGCTCTAAGGCTGGGCCTTTAAGGGCATCAAAAGATGATGTCTCGTTGGTGTTCCAGACCTTTGGGTAGGGCTCCAACCACAAACCCTAGAAAATGCACAGAGCCGCCAAAAACCTCAGTACACGCTTCTTAGTTCATGGAGGTTTGGTTGCTTCTAAATGACCTGAATGCTCCAGGCAGGCCTTAGCTGATAGTAATCTCCATTTCTTCTCTAGTGGTGCCCCCCGCCAGTAGAGCGTTTAAGCAAATGTATTCTGTGGCCTAATTACTGCTTCTATTTCTGTACCTAATGAGACTCAACCTAAAGCAGATGAAAGCGGAAATCTTATTGGCTACTAGTAGTATCTGTAAATTGGTAATTCATTATTTAATAAATCATAAAACTATAATAATATAATACAATATGTTTAACTATTAAAAGAGAACTATGGGCCAACCTTTTTTGGCCATAGTTTTCATACGGATCACAGGAGGACAAATACTATGTCCTCCTGTGACCCAAATCTTAGCATATAGCGGGCTATATGCTGATAGCGCAGAGCCGCAATATTGTCGGGATCCGGCCCGCCACATGATTGACAGCTCTCTAGAGGCAGCTGTGCCTGCAGCCTCCTCCGTCTGTCCTTCCAGTCTGTCCTTCCGGTCAGCACTGGAGGAATGGAGAGGGGAGGGAGGAATCCTTGCGTGGAGCGGTGACTGACAGTCACCGCTTTCTGCAGGGAGAAGATTGGGAACTCAGTGATCGGCAGTATGTGTTCGCTGAGTTCCTGATCAATAGAGCCGACATGTGACAGCTTCAGTGTCCCACATTGGCTCTAATTATAGGAAGGGTGTATTTCACTCTCCCCATAATTATCCTTTAAATAACCTGTTAAAGACTTAAATATGTATATTCAAATATATGATGTACACCAGTAAAGATCTGCTTCATTTATAGAAGGATTTGCTGCAGTATAAAGCTAGCCATATAAAACCAGGAAATAAGTTATAGATGACAAAATATACACTATAGGAGAGTAGAATGCTTCAAAGTGCTCTTCTGCAGACAAAGTGATTTCAAAGTTTTTACTGTAAAATCCAACAAGACATCTTCAAACACTGCAATTTGTACTTTTACCAAAAATCATATAATGGCCACTTTCACGAGAAATGTATGACACTAATGACCTGTAACAACTCAAGCAATTAAAGAATAACTGCAGCTTCTGGCTTAGGCTAACACACAGACCACCCAAATGAGCACTGATATGGGTCTCACATGAAGGATAGGCTTGCTGAAGAGACATTTTTACTGAGCAAAACTATTCAAGTGAAACTGCCTGCGGCAAAGACAGTCTGCCGATTCTCTTCAAGCTTCTAAGTATAAACAGAGTCATGGGATAAAAACTCTCCCTGTGCACATACCACTATCAGCTGTTCTGTCATTGCTTGGCTAAACAGAGAGAGTACAAGTCCTTGGTGCATGGAAAATATTTATTGAGATACTACACTCAATACTCTTCATCATTTTCCTTTTATGGAAATAAGATAATTGGATTTCATGCAAAAGACTGGGAATTATTATCTGTACCATAAACCTTTATAGATCAAGTCTATTTTCTATAAAGTAAACCTGTCAAATATTTTTCAATAGTACAAAATTATGTGAAAACAGAAATGTAGGCACTGCAGAGCTTTGACCTCTTTCCCTACTGTTCTCCTATTCAATCGGGCACCCCTGTAGCCAATTGTGATGCACCCCATTGGTTTGTGGGACAGCAAGGAATGCCAAAGCTCCCATAGTTAAAGTTGAAGGTCCTGAATGCAGAGTGGTGCTGGGTTTTGGAGATCTTAAATACGCACAGTGGGTGCCGCTGTCGGCACCCAACATTTCATCTGGCATCCCTCTATTAGCTGATCGAAGTTGGCGGTTAGAAAATTCTTGGCCGAATGGAGCTGGCATACAGTCAGCTGCTAGCTTCGTCCGGGTATTCTGACAGCAGCCTGCGGAGGATTCGTCCATCAACGCTCGTAAGCGTCGATGGAGG